TATTGGTGACCCATCCATATCCCCTATATTTAACCAGTTCGACCCACCTGATTTCCCAACTGCCAACATCCACATTTCATGACTGAGGGCTTCTTCTTCATGTTGCCTGACTCTGTTTGGCCACCAAAAAAGCAGAACAGAGTTGACTGCAATCACAAACTGTTGGGAACTACCCTTGTTCCTTACCTCTCAACGGATTACTACTGAGGTATACATTTTACCCTGTCACTCCTAGCTTCTCCCAGTAGTATTAAGCCCCAGTCTACCCAACAGTAAACTGATACTGTATTCTTCACTAGCTGACTTACTGATGCCTTAATATGTACTGGCAATTTAATATTCCATCTGATTATCTCCAGACTCTTTAAACCAGAGAAAAGGAATCTGATTTAGAAAGATTAATTAAGAGTATTCTTGCTTAGGGGTCACAGAGCAAGCCAGGATTATAATGAAATTATTTCCAGGAAAAAAAAAATGAGTTTTTTCACGTGTTTTGAGTATGAAACATTGAAAAAAATTTCCATTCACATTACAAAACTAAAAAAAGAAACACAAACAAACAAACCTCTACTTCAAACATACAAAAAATATGAAATCTTTCTAAAATCCTTCCTGAGCAAAATCAATTTTCTTGACTTGTGCACACTACCCATTGAAACAAAAGTTATTTTTAAAGTGTTTCAATAACAATTGTAAGGATTTATATACTGCCTATATTTTGGGGGTAAATTAAAGGGGCAACTAAAATATATTTTTAAATTAACAATCTATCAGTAATGGCTAACACAATGTTAATTATCAGACCACAGTAAAGGAATTCATATTTCCTATCAGGTTTATAAACTCAAGAAAAATAGAAGACATAATACTATAATCTAAAATTTTAAGGCAAATAGATTACATTTTATTTAATGACTTAAAATTGCAAATATAATAAAACCATTACTTTTAATGTCCATATTTTGGCATACTTTATTCATTCATTCATTCCTTCAACATGCATTCATGCAGTTTCTAAGATATACAAAACACTCTGACAGCCAGTTTGGTATTAGAACCAACAAAAGAAAGGAAAATGGCATCAAGTAGCAACTCCAGAATGAAAGAATTAAAAACATGTACAGTCATCCCTTGGCATCCCTGGAGCACCGGCTCAGGACCCTACAGAGAGCAAAAGCCAGATACTCAAGTCCCTTATATGAAACGGCACAGCAGGTACATAGAAGCTACAGGCCCCTCCTCCTCTGTACTTTAAATCACACCTAGATCATTTATGAAACCTAGTACACTGTGGATATGGTTAAGCGTACGTTTGAAGAATAAAGTCAAGGAAAAAAATCTTTACATATTCAATACACATGCTGCTATTTTTCAAGTATTTTGTCCATGATTGGCTCAATCTATGAATACAAAACACACGGACGGAGCGAATCAACTGTACATAGAGATTTCACATGCTTCTAACCCCAACTTCTTAAGTGTATACATCTACATCTACATCTACAGAGATGTTCATCTGTTCACTGAACAAACTGCAAACCACACTAAGCAAGATGATACTAGGCAGCAGATCTATGACAACAGAAAAAGAAGGCCTTATCCTCCAAATGCTTTAAGTCAGCATTAGCATGGAACTCAAGATTTTTAAGCTGAGAAGTATTCACAATCAGTAAAAATAATGAAAATTTAATTGTGTTAGTACTCACTTAAAAATTGAGGTCCACAAAATGCATTTTTATCCACTATTTTATGTTTAACTGAAATATGCAAGTTAAAATACTCATCTACATTTTAAAAATTAGCTTCCACTAACGTAGAGAAGAAAACACCAAAAACTTTAAAAGAAAAAACTCTGGATATTATACATTTTAAACAAACTTAACAACTGAAACTGAACTGATTAAATCCAATTTAAGAAAAATAAATTCATTTTTATACTCATACCAAAAGATAAGAGAATTACATTTGTGTTATTTGCTGTCAAAATTCAGTAAACTTCAAAATCAAATGTTGAAGAATCTTTTTCACATGAAATCTATTAACATTTGCATAAATATTCAACACAAAATTTAATACCTAATATGTGAATTTTGAGTAGCAAAACTAAGCAATAAAAACCTAAACAATTATCAAATAAATTAGTCTCTGAAAAATATGCATAACTATTTATTAGAGAAGTTATTATTTATGTGTATGTCAGATGAGTTTGACCTTAGAATGTAGTTTCACTTATAAAAATACAGATACAGGGTTTAATAACCAAGTCATAACACTAAAAGAATTAAATTGTAAATTAATCATAACGCTAAAAGTCATACTACTAAAAGAAATTAAATTTCTTAGACTCATTATTTCTAAAATCTGTGTCTAGAATTCACAAAGCCCAAGTTGAGTAAAAGACAAAAGACAATATGAAAAACTTTCTAAATCAGGATCCAACTCTAAGTTACTTCAGTTCTCCTCTAACAGAGCTGACAAGGAAAATAATGGAAAGTATACTGTTTGGTATTTTGTATAAAATAGTTTTCAATAGTTTGGATCACTCATTTACATATATTTTATACAAATGTTTGAAGTTAGTGTTCTTTCAGTAGAAAGAATAAATGCGTATCTCAAAATGAAATTTTGATCCATCAATAATTATATGCGTGGGATATAAGAAATTAACTGTAAGTACTGGAAGAAGTTTCTACCCGTAGTAGAGGTTAGGTTACTTAACAGTAGGAGATATATTAGCAACCCAAATAAAATATGATTTAATGATAAAATATATGGCAGACTAGGGGATACAAGGGAACAATGAAAAAAATACTAACAAAAACAGCACCAACACCAAAATGTTCTAGGAAGTTCTAAGTTTATTTCTCTTTCTAGCTTAAAAAAGATAAACTTGCCTTTAGCTTCACTCAACAATAAAAAAGTAATCTGTTAAATTTACCTACTAAATTATATTAAATTCCTTTTAGACGTTTCTCAATATAAAAACTGATACATCTTGGGCTCCTTTCAGAACACACGTGCCTCGCCATTCTTCTAGCTATAACCATCAGTCACAGTACAAACCTGGACTTAGAGTCATGTGTGTGGGTAAAAGCCCGGCTCTACCAACTCATTTGGCTTTTTGGTCACAGGCAAATGACCTACCATTACCAACTCTGTTTCTTCTTAAAAGAAATAAGGATAATAATAATTATATCTCCAACATGTCAGAAGACTTAAATGAGATAACAGGAATAAGTACACAGCAAAATGCCAGCCCCCATAAAAACAAAAAAAACTGCACTCTATCACTAATATAATTCCCACATTCAGGCAAGTTTTAATTACAGTAAAATCAGAACACAGAGACTAGAATGCGCACTGTACTGTACATTTCACTTCTTATCCTAAATATGCTGATCTGATATTTACTAGGAAAAAATAATGTGTTTGGCTGCTACTTCTATTCTTACTCATTTCTGAGAATCTGAAAAGTGATGCATTTTGGGCTGGGGAGATAATTTAATGATCTAAGTGCCTGCTGTAAGTGCAGGGTCCCATGTTTGATCCCCGGTACAATATGCCGTGCTGGGCCCCAGGTTCCCTGTATGGGTCCTGAAGCCAGGCGTGGTGGCACAGGCCTGTACTGTAATCCCAGCACTGGGGAGGCACTGAGACAGGAAGATCAGAGACCTTGTACTGAAAGAATAAAAATACAAAAAAAAAGATAGACATTTAAATACTTGATATCAATTTAGAGACATCAACAGTTCCCTGAAAGATTTAAAAACTATGTTCTACTGGCTACTTAAATTAAATACATTCAAACTTCAATTCCTCATTGTCACTGGCGAATTTTAAGATCTTGACAGCTACATAAGGATACTGGATAACATTAATATACATTTCAATAAACTCAGAAACTTCTGTTAGCCAGACATGTTTTGGAGGGTTATCATAGTATGACAATTAAAATGTTGTTTCTTTGCATTTAAAAAAAATACTTAAATAACTATCTCAAATAAATGCTGAAAAAGCAAACATTAAATATTTTCCCTACAACTGAACATCTAGTGTCTACTACATCACAAGCACTCCACAGGTATCTTACAGCTAACGTTCTAATTTTATTTTAGTTATATTAATGCAGCAAAAAGTGAGTGAGTTGGCAAAGGCCAAAGCTTAAAGGTATGAAAGAATATATAGTTTTAAAAAGTAGTAGGTAAATGTGTATGTATGATCATCTGATAAATTCCTAGTACCAATGAGGGCTCCCAATGTGCAGATTTCATTTTTTTTTTTTTTTTTTTTTTTTTTTTTTTTTAGTTTTGGCCATTCTTAAGGGCTAGATCACTTAATCAAAAGATTTTAGCCTTTATTATATTAAAAAAATTAAAAAAGCTTACCTACTGATAATTAGTATTATTACTTCTACATGAGCTTCCCAAAACAGAACTGCTAAATTATTTTTCAATAGTATGTGCAGTTAGACCTCATATTAATAGATTCTGCATCTGTAGATGCCAACTGCATACCACAAATATTCAGGGGAAAAAATTGCAGACTTTTGTTCAGCTTTTTTTTGTAGAACCAGGGACTGAGCTCAGGCCCTTGCACTTGCCAGGCAAGTACTTATTCTACTTAGCTATCTCCCCGGCCTTCTTCCTTGTCATTATTCCCTAAATACACTAGAATAACTATTTCCATGGATCTTATGTTGTGCTGACTGTTACAGGCAATCCAGAGATCAAAGTACACAAGAGGATGTATGTATGGACCAACACTGTACTATTGTATAAAAGAGATTTGCACATCCATCTGCAGAAGGTCCCGAAAGCAATCCTCTGAAGATCTGACTCACACAATGGCTTAGCAAAGGAAACATTTTAAAACTTCACTGCACTTTTATAACTTAATTATGGCATTAAGATTTTAGAAAAGCTTTTTCTTCTAGCATATCTTAAGAACAAGTGGTGCTATATACAAAGTAGGAAAAGGTCTAGTAATAGTTTGGCACTTACACTGACACATTTTTTCTAATGGTATATTCATCCAAATCGTCATCAGAGCTGCTATCAGTTGCATCAGAATCCAGACCCTCTTCAACCTGAGACAAGAGCCCTGTAGCAGAGAGTGCAAATCTCTGGATTTCGGCAGCTGTACACTGAGTAAAGCCATTTGGTGTATCATCCCACAATTTATTCTCTGCAGTCAATACTTTGACTTCTGGCTTCACTTCCATGCACTTAGGTAAACTGTTATCCAAATCTGTGGACGGTTCATGAAAACTCTTCATGTGGGGCAGCTGGTGCTTCATAGAAAATTTCATTTGCTGACCATAGTGCTCAACAACATGCCTTGCCAGGAGCATCTGCAAGTGCTTCTGGGTCCTTCTCGCCTGGCTCAGCAAAGTTTTCTGTTTGCTTACACAGTGAAGTAAACGAGCATTCACTTCCTCCTCTTTCTCAGCGGCTGAGGAACTATGAGGCATATTTGAGAGGCCAGGTCCCGTTTTCTTTTGAGCACAGTACAATAAACCTTTTCTAATGTCAGCATCAGTAACTTTATCCAAAAGTGCACTCTTCTGGAACTGTTTACACTTGTGTAGTTGTGCTTTATCTACATTCGTATCTTTGGTGAGATTTGAATCCAAGATGATTTGTATATCTTTCCTGCACTGGCTTGTATCTGACAGAGGCTCCTTTTTAATGAACTCTTCGGAACGAGAATGGCACATTTTCCTGAGCTGAATGTTGCTGCCGTTACGCAGTATGCTTTTCAGCTTATTGCAGTTGGGTTCCCCTGACTTCTTTTGTTTATAATTCTCATTGTATTTATTTAAAGTAGAATTAGAACTCATTAAAAGAACTGTCTGATAATGTTTTGAAGGCTGGGGGGAGCCAAAATGTTTTAAATTCACAAAATTAGTGTTAAGATTGGGTTCAGAAGTTGGAAATCCCAGCAACTGAGAGAAAGCATCTCCCTTTAGATTTTCATCTATAGTTCTTGCACTTTCCATGCATAGGATCTTGTCAGACTCCATGCTACTTGGCAAAGATGAAAAGCAGATACCCTTTGCTGTTGCTTCCCTTAGAGCTGGGGTCATGGCGATTCCTGCAGATAATTACTGGAAACCTAAAGTAATATAAAAAGAAATGATCAAATATCTAGAAGTCTTATATTTAGACTTTATCCAAGAGCAACACGTATCTTAATGTTAGTGATTAAAATAAAAGTAGAAGTTAAACTTTTCCTTGATTTCCCAAATTCCAACTTTATTTCATTAAGGACTAAGCTATCATTTTTCCCTCTGTCGACAGGTTTAATATCTAAAACTCCACTTAATGATGTGTACTACAGCTCAGTGGTAGAGAACTTGTACAGCATGCATGAGGCCTTGAGTTTGATCCCCTTCACTCCAAAAACAAAGGAAAGAAAGGAAGACAAGAAAGTTGTACTTTATCAGAATGCTTGACAAATAACTGTGGGTGCAATTATATTTCAGAATTCCATTTTTTGACAATGCTTAGTGAGATCGAAAGAAATTATTCTTTGAATTATTACTGGAATTTTATCATACCTGAAAACGAGACTCAGCCTCATAATTTCATCAAAAAGAATTATTTATCTTTGTGAAATATAAGAACGCGAAACCTCCATTTCAGAATTTAATTTTAAAATCTGAAAAGTACTAACAATAAAACTAAAATATACTCGATATTTACATAAGAAGACCTAAATGAACTGACCTACAAATAAAAACCTAATTCACAGCTGTTAAAAATATGATAATGAGAACTTGCCTATTTCTAATATGTATAAACTTTTCTTTCTTTCTTTCTTT